TTTATTTAAATGTATTTAATTAAAAATAAATATTAAATTTTATTAATAAATTATATCTTTATTCTATTAAAAAATTAATATTAAAAATGACTTCTAACACAATGACAACATTACCAAACGGGTCTAAATTATATATAAAAAAAAATAATACCAAAAAGTTTAATTTACCCCATTTCATTTGTTTTTTTATTATCTACTTCATATTCTATTTCTTCGTACCCGCATCAATTTCTCAAAAAATGAAAACAAATATTGTTAAAATTTATGAAACAGAATACCACCCAGCTGAAGGCCGAAAAAAAAAAAAGGGAATACCACCCAGTCAAGAAGAAAACAACACAACCTTTTTTTTCTATTCATGGCTCCACAAAACTCTTCCACACTTGCACAAAACCAATTCAACAAACTTCTAACCTTCTACTGTATAAAAATCTCCTCCTAATCAATCTTATGCAATCCAAAACTTCATCCCTACATTTCTAATAAATTTATCATTCCAACCCAAGAATGTGTTTCTCATTTTCATGGCACTTTCTTTTGGCTCTTTTCACATTTGTGCTCTTCGTTTCTAATTCCACCTTTGCCCAAATGAACGTCATCGACCAGTGCTGGAGATGGAATCCTAATTGGCGGAGCCACCGCTTAGAGCTCGCCAAATGCTCAGTGGGTTTTGCTGGCAAGATGATCAATAATATTGGAAAAGGTGTTGTGCATTATAAAGTAACCGATCCTTCTGATGATCCTTTGAATCCTAAACCGGGAACGTTGAGATATGGTGCCTCGATGATTAAAGGAAAAGTGTGGATCACTTTTAAAAGGAACATGAAAATCACACTCCATAAACCACTACTTATTAGCAGCTTCACCGCCATTGACGGTCGTGGTGTTGATGTTCATATTGCAGGCCCTTCATGCCTCTTGGTATACAAGGTATAGTTTACTCTCTAGCATTTCCATATACTTATATATGTGCTAAAGTTTAAATATCATTTTTGAGCATGCCATAAATAATAACATCCAATGTTCAGGCAACTGATGTAATAATACATGGGTTAAGGATCTACCACTGCAAGTCACAGCCAGCCAGCTTGGTCATGGGATCGGATGGAAACGTTGTTCAGCTTGGTCAAGTTGATGGGGATGCAATCAGACTAGTTACTGCAAGGAAAATTTGGATAGATCACAATACCTTGTATGACTGTGAGGATGGTCTACTTGATGTCACTCGCGGATCCACAGATGTTACTGTCTCTAACAATTGGTTCAGAAACCAGGACAAGGTCATGCTTCTTGGACATGATGACGGCTACGTGAGAGACAAGGGCTTGAAGGCCACCGTTGTCTTTAACCATTTTGGACCTAACTGCAACCAGCGTATGCCAAGGTAATATACATTCTATATGCCAGATAAAGAAATGAAAAACCTATTTGCAATGATATACATATAGCCTAAGCAATGTGAAATTTTACAGGGTTCGTCATGGATATGCACATGTAGCTAACAATCTCTATCAGGGATGGAAACAGTATGCCATTGGAGGAAGCATGGATCCTAGCATCAAGAGTGAAGCAAATTTCTTCATTGCCCCAGAGGGGAGCAAGGAGGTAATCTCAAGACTTTTTTTGTGGCCATAGAGAGGATATACTGAAATATACGTTATCATCTAACTACAATAGTACTTGCCCTGACTTGAAAAAATACAACAGGTGACATGGAGGCTCGGCAACAATGGGGACAACGTATTGTGGAAATTTTACTCAGTAGGAGATCTTTTCACAAATGGAGCTTCTTTCAAACAAACCGGCATCGGTGGGGCAAAGCCTAATTATAACCATGAACAGAGTTTCAAGGTCGCAAATGCCAAACTAGTAAAGGCATTAACAAGTTCATCAGGAATTTTGAAGTGCTCCAAAACATCAAAATGCTGATTAAAGAATAGAGATTATATATATATATATATATAGACAACATAGTATAATGGGAGAATTGTGCACTGAATATTTTCTTCTCCTTGATCAAACAAATATTTCACTCAGCTATTCATTGGTCAGGCAACCTAAATGTCTGTTTAAGCAGAAAAACATAATATACTTACCAACTAGGATATATATATATAAGAAAAAAATTGATGTACCATTGTTCCAATGCAAATAATTAGTCATTTTCATCATCTGAGCTCGCATATGCTAAGCCTAATATACTTTTCACAGGATTTTCCACTTTTGTCTAGTCTTCTACTTCATTTGATTCAGAAAGAGGATGCTCTTTCTTATTCTCCTGATCTGGCTTCTTGGAATTTCTAGAAGCCAAATTACTTGAAGTTGAAGTCTATATTGATTCCCACTACATGGGCTTGAAACTTAGGCCATTTGGGTTTACTTTCCACAACCTTCTTCAATAGATCTTGCTGCCTAGAGTCCATATATAAATGGATTACCATATATAAATGGATTAGACTCAATCAAGGAAAAAGAAAAGACTACTCTGAACTCAAATGTTTAGGTGCCTTTAATTGATGTGCAAGGGGTGCGTACATGTGGTTATGAACAACAAACACAAAGAGGCAAAGGAGAGATAAGTGGTTCCACTCTTTGGCTTGGGCTCGTACGAGGAGGCCAGGGAACTGTTGGATGTGAAGAATCTGGTAAAGTTGCAACTTAGTGTCCATTAGTTAAGGATGATCCTTTCAATGCTATCCAAAACTTTCAAAATGTAAGTCTATGTAACATATTATATTGGCTTTAACTACAAGAAAGTGAGCCCACAAGAGGAAATAATCAAGGAGACAAAGAGCTAGCGTGCAATAGCGCACATCTTTCACATGCATGAACTTTTGCAAATTGAGACACAAGGAAATCAAAAAGACAATAAAAAAAATGTAAAAGCTGGTTCTAGTTGTAAAAAATATGTTGTGTGAATGTAAAGAAGTTTAAAGATGAAGACCAGAAAGGGTTTTTTTGTTCTTTTTCTTTTTCCTCT